TTCTCGGCCGATGAGCATGCTTAAATGTTTGCATTAAGTTATTAACATAAGAATACACATGATATCGAGTGCAATTTGCGATAAATCATCACGAGTAAACTTTTCACGAGCGAACCAAATTGCACGAGCCCATAAGGCAAGTGCAATTTGTAGTCTTTTACACGACAGCTGCTCGCTCGTAGTCTTCACTGTCTATCGTACCAACTGTTGCGTATTACTCCTCGAGAATTTCATGTTATTCTGGACCTCCTTGTCCATTTTGAACGGCAGACTTAAAGCTATTTGTTTTACTTGTTTGGTTTTTTTTTTGTTTTTAGCATTCTCTCTCAAACTCGGAATTAACACATTGTTACTTTCTCCTCATCAGTCCGCCATTTTGTTTTGTTGTGCTTTCCTGACTTACCTGTCAATCAATTTAATTTCAACTCTCTGCACACAATTTCAACTTTCTATACCGTTTTCGAGTAAATGACGTATTCTAAGCCAATAAACACGTGGAAATTTTTTCATGTTTATTCACGAATCGCACCATTTTATGCTCAAAATTGCATCTTTTATCCAACCAATAAGACAACTTCACTAAGTCACAAAAACCAATCAGACTTCAACGCTTGTTTTAAGAAATCTATCAAATTGCAGGAAAATGAAAGACAACTATATCAACTTTTTACAAAACAGCTGAATACTGGATAAATAAAATATTTTTGCAGATGAAAAAAACCGTATTCGAATGACTAAATTTTGCGATTTCAAAAGGCAATTTAGGTCTGATTTCAAATCACACAAATAATTTCTGACCTAACAATACATATGCGTAAATTTCAGCATGCTCAAGATTTACTCGTGCTGATTTATCCCAAATTGCACTCGAAATCATGTGATTACCTCTACACATTGACTGCATGATACCCGCTTTATTGCCTAAAAAGACATATTTTCACGATCTTCATTGTACAAACCGTGAAACATGACGGGCAGAAGCGGAATTAGTAAGCACATCAAAAACAACAGTTACCTAACACGACTTTGTGCCCTTTGACGAGTACACGATGAATCGAAACAAAAATTAACTATAGAAC